TAAGAGATGGCAAAAACCGGTTCGACTTAATGTAATCGATACTGGCTTCTTCAGAGAATGGTGCAAATTTTTGGTTGAATTGATGTGGAGACTGTTAAAGGAAGACGTTAGTCAATTAAGATTTTTTTTCATATTTTGTTTTGGGGAGAGGATACCTTAGCAAAAGTTAGTAGAATTTTTTATTGCTACTTTAATTGAATTATCATTCTTCACAGGCATACCTATCAAAATAGATATATCAGTTACTTTCTAGTTATTTTCTGATTTTTCTACTATAAATTAATTTGTTCTTTATCTACTGTTTCTGATACAGCAAAGTATAGGCAAATAACCAAAAACCTTGTAATTTTTAGCGAAACTGGTCAGGTTTTTGGTAGAAAATGGTAATCAGTGAACAAGTTGTTGGGAGTAGTGGGATGTTAAGCTTTGGGAATTTTACATTATACTTACCTAAACAGCAACTGAAAACCTCATAAAAACTTTTTGAAAGTTAGCTATTAATTGCGAGAGAAGACTTGACTCTCGGTTGTAACTATGATGCTTTTAGTCCATTTGGGCGGTAGGAATTTCATGTATGGACTGAATGGAAATGTCAGCATGTATTTTTAGAGAACGTTAAGTATGTTCAAATGCAAGAAAGACATATCAATAATTCTTTACCACATTGTTCAAAGTGAACAAGCATGGTTTTTTGTGAAGCAAGTTTTAATATTTTTAAAATTTCTATTTATGAATGTTCTTATTTAAGGGGTTAATTTGCGTCATTTTAAAATTATCACTTTAATAAACCTTTTTCAACAATTGAGTTAAGGAAACAAAAATCGGACACTTTTACGATTTTCTATAACTTTGACTAACGTTTTCTAATAAATGTTTTTTTTCTGATGGAACGTGTGTAATATAACGAAAAAGTGCAGTAATTTTTAATTCCACTTGAAACGTAAACCTCAGTGGCGAAGTGCCTTTGAACCAGACGTAAAGTATGACTGGCGTTTGCTGATGTATAATCATTGTTTTCTTCAAAAGAGTTTTTTTATTATTAGCTCTCTCTCCAATAATTAACTGTATAATTTGGAAAAAAGAAAATTTTCAAAATCTACCGCAATGCCAAGTGGGTTAGATCAGCTTATTGACGATATTTTACACTATTGGACCACTGCGGTTTACAAAATAAAGTTTTTCAATGATCGTGAAACTTTTCATTCAAAAAGACACCTAGCATACTTTTTAGGTTTGTGAATCGTTTTTACATTTCCAACTATAATCAGTAGGCAACTGGTAGACTGAAGGTGTTAATTTACGGTATTTAAGGTAGTATTTAAGTGCAAAATAGTTTTAACATTGAGTAATTGACTACATGTGATTGTTGATGAAGAGCGACTCAAATTTCTGGTTGCCATGATTGAAGATCTATATAGGTGGTTAATCTACAAGGTATAATTTTTCACGTCATCACTGTAATGAGATAAACCTTTCTACCACTTACCAGTTTCGGTAATATATTGGATATGATACATACTTTATATGAAAATACATATTCGCTTTATAAAATTAGTAGGGAAAATTCATTACTGTTTTTACATTACAGAGATGTAGTTAAAGGGAAAGGAGGTTATTTGAGTGATTATAAATTGTAAGATAAGACTACTTTGAAAAAATACGCAAAAGATAGTTAAAATCGATGAATTTTCAAAGTTAGTTTGGGTATCAAACATCAAATTCGTACCATTAAAGAAATTGTGATGAAGGAAATAAAGCATTTATAAGTTAGATTTTAGAAAATGTTGAATATGACTTGGCCACTGTAAGGAGTGAAATAATTAAGAAAAAGAAAAAACGCAGTAGTGATTGAAGAACATAACCAACTGGTGACCAAGAACATAATATAACCAATTGTATGAAGTGAGAAGAGAAGACAAAAAATTTCTTTTTTTTATTCAAAAAACAATCAATTGATTGAAGGTTGGCTAGCGTTGGGGAAGGTTTTGAAGGAAATAAGTGCTGATAGAAAACAAATCAAAAAGTTGGAACAAAAACATTAATTTGGTTGAAACAAAGGTGTAGAAAAGGAGCAGTACAGAATTAATCGAAAAACAAGCGTGCCATGCATTGGGGGAATTGTTTTACTGAAATAAATTCCGGTTACAAAGTGTCAGGTATTATTCACCACAACAGCTGCTCAGTGTCGTTTTTGGTCATTTTTATCACCCATTTTCAACCACCATTGCAGCATTGGTAATTTAAGTATTTGGCTACTAAGAAAACGAAAGGTAAAACGAAGAAAGAGGAGGTAGTGGGCTTTTTGTCGTTTTGATTGTTTTCTACTCGTTCTTCATTTTTGACGTCTTTTAATTTGCTAATGATTTTATTAATCAGTTTATTTGATTATGTAAGAATTGGTTTGTTAGAATATTAGAACCTGAGATGGGACTTATTATTGATAACGCATTTAGGACAGTTTTTTTCAGTTACTGAGTAGATTTTTTTCTTGTTATTTTTCCAAAGTCTAATTTGATGAAAGTCCAGGTAAGAGATGTTGTTGTGATGATAAAGGAGAGTGAAGTGCTGTTGTTCTTCTTGATGCTTGCCATTACAACATACTTATGGGAGGATGGGTTGTTTAAAGTTGAAAAATGATGAAGTGTTTAATAGCAAAGAAATGATAATGAAGTTTTGCAAGGCAAACTGGATTATTGATGGTTTTTCTTAATAATACTTTTTAAGACTGAAATTCCCTGTAGGTGTGGGAACTATTTTGAGATTTTAAAAAAGGCAAAACAATTCTTCAAGGAGTTAAATGGAAAAAAGGAAGATTTTGTGAATAAGCAGTAAATCTGTAACTTCTCTTTTAGTTTTCATACGAAAAATCAGAAAAAAATGTGATACTGTCAAAAAAGTTCGTCTACTGATATGTCAAATTATGAATCAACAGAAAAGCTATTCTGAATTCTGCTTCATGAAAGGCGGAGAAGCATCAAATGTAAAGTGATGTTCCTGTAATTCGCTCAAAGTTTACATAAGGGCCTAACGGTACGCTATTAGTATTAGTAAGAAACGATACAATTAATCGTTATTTTTAGGTTCCTTAAAGGCCAGTACTTTTTTTTTTGGATTTTTGATCATACGTTTCGAGGTAATAGCCTTGAGATGGGAGGAAATGGAAACAAGGCTTACAGTTGGAAGAGACCGCTGTTAAACGGGCTCCTCTACTATATTGGTCTCTTTTCTTAACAGACTAGTTCATAGTTTAAAAGAAAAAAGGAAGAAATATTGAATTTTTTTATTGTTAAATATTCCTATTTTTCAGTTCATTAAACGACATAGGAAGCTCAATACATAAGAATCATTATTAACGCAGTGTAAAATTCGTTCAGTTTCAAGAAAAAAAAAAAAA